ACACACACACATACAGACACACATACACAGCAGAGACACACACACACATACAGACACACACACAGAGAGACACACACAGACATACAGACACACATACACAGAGACACACACACACATACAGACACACATACACAGAGACACACACACACATACAGACACACATACACAGAGAGACACACACACACGAGGCATTCACACACATGGGTACACACACACACGGGTATACACACACACACACACACACACATGGGTATACACACACACACACACACACACACGTAAAAAAGTATTTTTAAAAGAGTGTTGACAGGTCCTGAGAACGTGTGTTTTCTGACATCCCAGGACCCCTGATTCACTGTCACATACAGAAGCTGTGGTGTCCAGAGCACCCTTGAGAGTCAAGCTTCTATCCAGCTAGTCATTCCAACGCCAGCTTCTCTTCCGTGGTAAGTAAACCAGTTCACTCAGGTTGTCACAATTGGTTTTCCCACAGTCATTTTTCAACAGAGAAGAACTGAGTGTCTATCCCTTGATGAGCCCACACGGAACCTTGGTCCTCAGGGACCTTGACAATCTGTTGTTTGTCCATCCATGTATCCATCCACGCACTCTCCTGCCAGGCACTGATTGAGCGAGCTATTTGGGTTTTAGGAGTTGGATGAGGCCTTGGGACATAGGAAAGAAGGAGAAACCTTCTAATCTTTCCTGGGACACTGAGCTTTTGAAAACTGGCTAAGGGCTTCTCTACAAATGCAAATCCAGTCACACCCATGTTTCACTCAATCGTGGTGATCAATGGTTTCCAGGTGCTGGTGGGAACTGTTCACTGCTTCCCGCTGACATCTTCACTGTCACTTCTAGCCAGCCCTGGCCTCGGGCCTGATTGTCAGAACCTCTCCATTCCTGCTCCCGGGCTGCTACTCCCAAGATTCCCTGACTATTGACTCTCAGGTGTCTCAACAAGGTGGCTCACACATCATTCTCCCTTGGAACATTCACTATGCCGTTATTTAATTTTATTGATACCTCTGACTAGCCCGTGTGCGGTCCCTACTGTATTCATCCACCGCAGTTTTGAAAAGTACTTTCTATATTATTAACTCTTTGAACCTTCAGTTTTGTTATGAGGTAAGTCCTATTAATACCCATTTAACAGGCAAGGAAATCCGAGCCCTGAGAGGTCGAACATCCTGCTCCCGAGCACATGGCTCTTAAGTGGCAGAGCAGGGTTAGGAACTGGCTGGCTGGCTTCTGGTTGTCTCTTCTTCCCTCTACTGCAGCTGCCCAGTTGTCTGTCTTCCAGGCTGGGCTCCAGCTGCTTCCAAAAGCTAGGATGCCAGGTCTTCATATACATGGGTGAGCGACAGCCTCGCGCCACGGTGACCCCGTGGGACAATGGGGAAGGACCTCGGTTCCATTTGGCTTTTTCCTGAAGCATCAGTGAATCACCTGGCTTCTCTGTGGATAGGTTCCCTCACTCGAAAAAGCTGAGTTCCCACCCCCCCAACTACTGTTTCCTTGGGTAGCTGTGATGATTTGGGGATCTAATGAAGGTAAAGGTATTTTACAAACCCCAAAGCCTGAGGTGAAGACAAGAGGTTATTTCTATAATTATCCATGCGTGTCTTAACCATCAAAGCATACGTAACTGCCTTTCAGCTTTGTTGTTGTTGTTCATTCGTTTCTGAAACAGGCTCCCAAATGGCTGCGGCTGGCCTTGAACTCACGGTGTAGCTAATCTTCTTGCCTTGCCCTTCTAGTGAGTGCTGAGATTTGTACGATGCCTGGGTTTATGCAGGACTGTGGATCAACGCCAGGGCCTCCTGCATGCTAGGCAAATATCCTACCAACTGAACTATATCCCCAACCTGAAATTTTTTGATACCTTTGTTTGTTTGTTTGTTTGTTTTTCAAGACAGGGTTTCTCTGTGTAGCCCTGGCTGTCCTGGAACTCACTCTGTAGACCAGGCTGGCCTCGAACTCAGAAATCCGCCTGCCTCTGCCTCCCAAGTGCTGGGATTAAAGGCGTGCGCCACCACCACCACCCGGCCTATATTATTCACCTTTAAGAATACGCTTTATTCGTGAGCTACAATAATTGCTGACCTGATATGTCCCTAGGCTCAACATTTGCATGGGTATCATGAGTGTGACCAATCACTTTCTGATTGGATCCACACCGAAGAAGAAAGCAGATGCCTGGGGTTGTGAATCTGGCAAAGATTCCATGATTGGGCAACTCAGGCTCAGAGGGTCAACTTAACTACTATTATTTTTGCTAAATATGGTATTGCTTTTTTATTCTTTTTTTTTTTCAAAATTCATTTATGTATTCACCCTTGCTCTCTTCGGACACACCAGAAGAGGACATCAGATCCCATTACAGATGGTTGTGAACCACCATGATTGCTGGGAATTGAACTCAGGACCTCTGGAAGAGCAATCAGTGTTCTTAACTGCTGAGCCATCTCTCCAGCCCATAGTATTGCTTTTTAAATGTGCATTTCTGTATCCAAAGAGAAGTGAAGCTCTCTCAGCAGCGAAGTTTCTTTGTGCAGTGGATAGTGGTTAACATAAACTCACCATTGGGACAACTATGTCACTTCCCCCAAGGCTTGTTTGGGAGAGCAGGCAGGACTCTGCTCACACAGTCAGTCACAGCAGCTGTGTTTTCCTGCACAAAATCAAGCCAATTAACATTCCAGCATGGAGGGGGAGGGGCTATTCTAGTTTCATTTCTGTGGACGTGAGGAAACTCCAGCGACTCCAGGAAGGAGAGGGCTTATCTGACCTACACTTCCAGGTCCCAGTCCTTCACTGAGGGAGTGCAGGGCAGGAGCAGGAGCAGAAGCCACAGAGGAACTGTGTTCACTGCCTCGAACATACCCACGCTGAGCACAGGAACACCTGGTCAGGGAATGGTACTGCCCACAGTGGGCTGTGTCCTTCACCAATTGCAATCGAGACAATGCCTTACAGACATGACTCTAGGCCAATCTGATTTAGGTAATTCTTCAGGTGAGGGTCTTTCTTCCCAGGTGACCCTACGCTGTGTGTAAAATTGACAACCAGTTGTGTCAGGAGCTCACGAGCCCCCCACCTGTAGCTAAAGAGCTAGTGACAGTTGGTGGCTTATGACAGAGGCAGAGGCGGTTTATTTTAAGTATGTGGTGTTGGGTAGGCAAACCACACTCTGGTGGAGAGTCTCACACATAAGTATGGTAGCACAAATTGGTCTTGGTGGGTTGTTAGGAAATAAGAGAGGAGTACAAAGTTGGGAGGGATGGAGGGGCGGATCTGGGAGGAGTCAGGGAAGGAATATAAAAATATGTTGTATGCACATCTGAAACTCCCAGAAATTAATAAAAAAATGTTATATCAAAATAAACATGGGCTCTTCCCTGTTCTGATTTCCACGTGGGACATCCTTCAATGTGTTTGAACGTCTAAAAGCACTAACGCAAATCCAGCTGCTTGTTTTACTGGGAGCATGGAGAGGTGGACTCAGGAGTAAACAAAGATCTGTCCTGGGCGGGTTTGCCTGCTGCTCAGGGCTGGGAGTACTTGTCTCTGCTCTGTCAGATCTTCCTACAAGCTGAGACTTGACCTCTACAAGTGAACACACACACATAGACACAGACTGACAGACGGGTAGACACACGGATGCACACATAGACAGCCTCCCCCCCCCCCCCCACCCCGCCCCTGCCTGCTCTGATTTTCCAGAGCTCTGTGCTATCTGTTGTTTCTTCAGTCTTGTCGTTGTGAACAGGTGACAAGGATCACTAGTCACTGGGCTAGGAAAAAACATGCTCCTCCAGGAGGGGAAGGCTGAGCTGAGCAGTTTGTCACTGTGGCTAAGCCTCTGCCTCCGTTAGGGCAGCGCTCGTTGTAAAGAATTTGTTACTCATTCTGCGCTCCGATTTTAGGAGTTGGTCCTGAGAAGCCAAAGCCACAGCTAACAGGAAGTCGTTATCAGTATCGGTTGTCCTTTGGGCACACGGATTGCAAGAGAAGATGGCTACAGTACTGCTTCATTTCCTCCACTCGGGAGCGAAGCCAGACTTCAAAGTTCAAAGGCTTCCCTGAGAAAAGCTGAAGTCGCCTTTAAAGTGGAAAGCCTAGGTGATTTAAATGAACAAACCTTCAGGTGGCTCAGAGAAGTAGCTAAGCAACAAGTGAGGCCAGCACCGGGAAGCCCGGCTGCAGCCAGAAGCAGTGACCAGAGAGAGCAAATGGGGTCTGATGACGTCATCTGTCTGAAAAGCCGCTTGTAGCTGCAGGTAGGTGAGTGGGTGTGGCGTGAGAGACCCCGAAGGAGAAGGTCGACCGGTAACAGGATGTGAATGAGGAATGGGAGGGGTGAGGAGGGGCGTGTCAGGAAAAGGGTGACTCTCTTTTTGGTCCTCTGCACGTGAGTTGTTTTCTTTTCCTTTGTGCCATTTAAAATAAAGGCAAAGAAAATTAACTGCTAGAGAGGCCCCGAAGCCACTCTTTAATCCCCAGAAAACTCTTAAATGTTTAAGACTACTGGTCTGGGGCAAAGACCTTCCTAGTTTGGGCTATTCTTGAATAAACCGTGTTTGCAAGCTGGATCAGACTTCTGCCCTAACCGAGGAAGGTAGATGATATAGCTCAGGAAACTCTTCCCCAGCAAACCAAAAGGAAATACTCAATTCTCCTTCCCTCTCCTTCTTCCTTTCTTTCTCTTTCTCCTCCCTCCCCCCCCCTTCTCTCTCTCCTCTCCCCCACCGTTTCTGTCTCCATCTTTGTCCCTGCATTTCTTGTAGGTAGGATAAATTTTGGGTCGAAAGTTTTTGGGTGGGTTAGTGTCCTTACCCCTACACTAGGGTTCCTGCCTGGCTGGCTACAGGAGGTGGCCTTTTCAGTTTCATATCCCCACTGCTTTGAGTCTCAAGGTCACCCCCCTCGACTCCTGGGAGCCTCCCCCTTCCCAGGTCTCTGTCACATCCTCAAGAATCTCCCCACCCCAAGTCCCCTACCAGCTGCAGATTTCCGTTCATTCTCCTGGCCCTCTGGCCCTCTCTCCTGTCTCTCCCAACACCTGATCCTAAACCCACCTCCCATTCCACTCCCCCTCCCCCTTCCCCATCCCTCCACCTGCCTCCTATGACTATTTTATCCCCCGTTCTAAGTGAGATTCGAGCATCCTCTCTTGCGCCTTCCTTCTTGTTTAGCTTCTTTGGGTCTGTAGAATGTAGCGTGGGTATCCTGTACTTTTATGGCTAATATCCACTTATCAGTGAGTACATGCCATGCATGGCCTTTTGGGTCTGGGCTACATGTTTGTGTTTTTAAAGGAATTGGCAAATCCCAAAGGAACCATAGTCCTTGGGACTATTATTTAATATACACATCCTACTTAAAGGCATGCAATCACATATTTGAATATTAAAGGAAAAAAGTCACAGTTAAAAACCAGCCCCTCTCAGAACGGGGTGGGGGGCTTGGGGGGGCGGTCTTCCCTCCGCACTGGTTTTTGGTTGACCTACAGTAAAGACAGTCTTACTGCTTTTTGGCTTTTGGATTAAGTTTTCTGTTTTGTTTTTGCTTTTTTTTTTTTTTTTTGTTCTGTTGTTTGTTGCTATTCTTTGTCTGAGACAGGGTCTTCTGTAACCCAGGCTAGCTTGGAACTCTCCATGTAGCCGAGGATGACTCTGAACATCTGATCCTACTACTTTTCCCTATGTTTCGTTTATAAAGCTGCATACCACAGCAGGTTTTATGAAGTGTTCAGAATGGAACCCCCGGGCTTCTCACCTGCCAGGCAAGCATTCTATCAACAGAGCCTCACCCCTAGCCCCTGGATTATCTTTAAACCAAACCAAACCAAAAACAAAACAAAACTAAGGGTGTGGGTGTTTTAATACAGTTCTTGGTACCTGTGGAGGGCAGAAGAGGGTGTTGGATCCCCTGAAGCTGCCATGTGTGTACCGGGAATCAAACTTGGGTTATTGGGAAGAACAGCCATTTCTCTTAACTATGGACCATCTGTCTAGTCCTTCCTCAAGTGTATTAGATGAAGGTTTAATCTCACAGCCACCTGTGACTCCAGCTCCAGAGAACCCCACACACTCTGTTCTGGACTCACAAAGTACTTGTGCACAGACACCCAGGCACACACCACACACACACACACACACACACACACACACCATTTTTTAAAAAATGGATCTAAAAATATATTTTTTTAAAGTAAAAGGAATTGAGACTCTATTTTACAATTTTTTTTTTTGAAAAAGCCATTAATCCCAGTACTTGGGAGGCAGAGGCAGGCTGATTTCTGAGTTCGAGGCTAGCCTGGTCTACAGAGTGAGTTCCAGGACAGCCAGGGCTACACAGAGAAACCCTGTCTGGAAAAAAACAAAAAGAAAAAAAAAGCTAGAAAGAGCTTTCTGTAGCCTGTTTGGCTCTCAGCTCCCTTCTTAGAGACAAGGTCTCATTATGTAGACCAGGCTGGCTCCAAACTCAGAGCTCCACCTGGCTCTGTCTCCAGAGTGCTGGGACAAAGGTGTGTGCCTCTCTTTTAGAACCTAATTTTGTATCTATTTTGGCAATCCACAAAATCCAATTTACTATTATTTACAAAATGATTTATTGATTCTCCATCCCTAGAAATATAAACTCCTTGCCAAACACATTCACTTTAGTATTTATCCTCTGTACCTAGTATGATGCCTGGTACATGTTAAAGCTATATATGAACTCTCTGCATTAATTATTGAGGGATGGGATATATAGCTCAGTGGCAGAGTGCTTGCTTAGCATGCAAGAGGCCCCAGGTTCAATACCCGGCACCAAAGTTGCACACACATGCACACACACACACTGTGAATTCATTATTAACTCTGGGAATGTAGTCGCAGGCAGGTGACCAGTACTTGATTTTAGTCACTTTGATTTATAGGCAGGTGGTTCTATTTGTTTCCTGTGCAAGGGTTGCCTTTTTGTCGAATGATAACGCCCAAATATTTGTGCTGTGTGCGTTAAGAGCATCAGGCTGACGTGCCAATTGATACCAGATAAAATCATTCATAGTAGACCTTTATTTCTTGTTCTCCTCTTCCTCCTCTTCTTCCTCCTCCTCCTCCTCTTTTTCCTCCTCTTCCTCCTCCTCTTTCTCCTCTTCTTCCTTCTTCTTCTCCCCTCCTCCTCTGCCTCTTCCTTTTCTTCCTTCTTCTTGTTATTTATATATATATCTGTATTTCTGTATATGTGCATGTGCCTAAATAGGTCACCTGGAGCTGGAGTTACAAGCAGTGCTGTGGGTGCTGGGTGCTGGGTGCTGGGAGCTGGGAGTGGAACCTAGCTCCTTTGCAAGAACAGTAAGTACACACTCTTTTCAGCTAAATTGTTTCTCCAGTCTCATTTTTTTTTTTTCTCCTGAGGTAAGGTCTTAATACAAAACGCCCAGGCTGGTCTGGAACTTTTGGCAATCCTCTTGTCTCAGGTCCCCTCAATGGCTGGATTATAAGTGTGAGCCACCACACTCTGCTTGAACCATCCCTTCAAAGCAATGGATGGGCCAAAGTTCCTCCAGCTCCAGTCAAGATAGGGGCTACAGTTGGGGACCACTCAGCTAGCTTTACTCTAGCATGGGCTTCACCCTTGTTTCCAGTAAGTGTCTCTTCAAGGCCCGCTGGCACACAGGAGATGGTTACCATATCAATGGGAGGATCTCTTTGGGATCCAGAGTTTGGTCTAAACTTTTCATCTTGTCCTTAGAAGCTGTCCAGGCATGCCTGCTTATGGATTGTCTGCAATTACCCCTTAAAACAATGCCTATGCCCAAATAAAAAAATAATCAACAATGCCACTGGGCCTGGGCCTGAATAAAAGATTAATCAAGGAGCTCTCTCCTTGTCCTGAGACTTCAAGCCCTGCCCTGACTTGGCCCAGCAATGCCTGGCACATTCCACACCAAAGATGTTTGGATTCAGTGTCTCAAGAAAAATAGCTGTTGGTCACTAAAGCCTGAACCTTAATTGAATTTGTCTTCATGCATTTAGCCTTCTGACTTGCCAGCGTGGGAATGGGGCTGATGTCAGGAGACACACCCCCGAATACCCGATCATTTGACGGGTGAGAGTGGCGTAGTAAAACGTGGAAGCCAGGAGAACATGGAAGTTGGAGATGTCTTGTAGAATTTCTTTTCCATCTTCTTAGCTTTAGACATTCACAAGTGATGTACCATTATCCGTCACCGCAGTATCACCCAGTATCAAGACAGTGACCTAAAGTGAACTATGACACCGTTCTGGAGCAGTTCTGTGGTTTTTGTTTTGGTTTATAAACTCCCTTTTCTTTTTAGGGAACAAGAAGACACGGGAAGGGCGTCCTGGTTTGCTTTCCTGTTCCTGCAATAGACACCTTGACCAGAAGAAGTAACTTGGGGAGGAGAGGACCCTGTTTTCATTTATGTCTTCATAGCTTGTTGGCTAAGCAGGCTGACTGTCCAGTTCAAGCCCCTACTAGCATCCTCTGGCTCTCCTGGAACTACACCAATGGCTCTCCATCCCCAGCCCTGTCCTCTCCTCTCTGGGCCTTCCTGGAACCTCCCTGCTCTCTTACAGATGCTGGTTGCCCAGGTCCCTAACAGCAGCGTTCAGCAAACTGTCATTTCTGAGAACCTAACACACAGCCCCAGGCCTGGTGCCTGGGTCTCCTATTTGTATACCCTTGTTCCCTGCTTTTATAGCTTTGTGGTACTGAACAGGATCTGTCTCTGACTGTCTCTCTCCCTCTCTTCCACTCCTTCCATCTGTCTGTCTGTCCTCTACTCCCAACTTCCTCCAGGGCTTCACTGTATAGCCCTGGCTGGTCTGAAACTTACTACATATACCATACTGGCCTGGAACTCACAGAGATCCTCCTGCCTCTATCTCCTGAATGCTGGGATTAGGACTAGATGTCTTTTACTGCCTGTTTTGTTATCAAAATTGTATTTGAACAGAGCCTCAGCCACTGATATATAGTATTTACCATGACTCACACTGTGGGGCTGTGTGGTCCCTCTGACTGAGATATTCACTGTCTGGACTTATGGATGATGGTGGTAGTGATGGATGAGGAGGAAGAGGGATAGGAAGAGGAGGAAAAGCAGAAGAAATAGAGAGCGGCAGCAGCAGCAGCAGCAGCAGCAAGCAAGCAAGCAAGCAAGCAAAAAACCAACAACTTCCCAGCCCAGTGTAGAGATGAACCCTTTAGGCTGTGAGTCACCAGCCTACATTCTAAGCCCAGATGTGACTCTTATGTCTCTGCCATCCTGGTTATTCACCCATGAGCTCAGACTCGGAGTCTCTCCCAGCTGATTCGGAAAAACACGATCACACCTCGCTAACTGCTTTCAAGTGCTCCCGAGGGTTTCCCTATGCTTGACGTCTTAGGCTATGATCCTAGCAGATCTTTTGTGTTCTTATAAAAAATTAAATACAGAAGCATCTGGGCAGCCACCTTTCCTGTCCTAGGAACAAAGATTCATAGCATCCTGGTTGTCCATGCCAAGCCGAACATGTCGGTTAGTTGAGTCAGAGCAACTCAGGAGGTCTCCCGTGGCAGACTGTGGGGTTGTCTTTGATCTATTCTGGACACTCTGCTGACTCAGTGCTGACAATGGAAGGCCCGCAGATGCAATGCCTGGGAGATCAAATATTTGTATGAGAGACTTAAGATTCCCAGTGGTTCCTGCAGCCTCATGGGAAGGGCCGGGAGGAATTAGAGAATATTTACCAGGAACTGGTGTGGACGCTGACATCTGTTATTGCTGTCTGCAGCGGGGAGATGGCCAGACAGCAGTTCCTGGGAAGTTCTGTGAAGCCATTAGGTAGTCACAAGTTTAATTTGAGCCAGACATACAAGGCTGGCAAGGAGCAGAAGATCCTGGCCTGCAAGAGATGCCTGTGGGCTCGGAGGAAGGTAGAACAGAAAGCAATTTAAATGAGGTAGGCAGCCCACATTTGGAAAATGGACATCCATTGTAAAGACGATTTTTAGTCGGGATATTGCCAGTGTTTCAGGAGCCAAAGGGGAAGTGCAAGAAAGGTCGGGTTGCTGAACCCCTTGGGAATCTTGTTATCATGAGGATTGCTAGGGAATCCAGAAATGTTTCCCAGGAAAAGAGATGACCACAGGGAAGCAAGCTCGCTGACAGGCCTTCTCCATGGAAGGAACTGCCTTGACTTTTTAATTATTGTCATGATGATGATGGTGATGATGATGATGATAATGGTGATGATGATGATGATGATATGGTGCTGGGTTCGGATCTGGGACCTCATGAGTATTTGGCAAGCTCCTGACTTATATCTCCAGTCCTAATCTCACTGCCCCTCTTACAAGGAGGAAAATAAATTTAAGGGATTCACCATCAGATGATCAACCCTACTCACACATTTCTTCCACCCTCTCCTGCCTGACCCAGGTCTACTGTCTCGGAAGAGGCCATCCTTAGATTTTGTGTTTGTTCTCCATAGTGCTGCTTTTCTGGTGATGGCTGACGAATGCTGGGAGCTAGTGCACTGGATTCTCTTTTCGGGGAGAATGGAATCTGTCTCAAGGATTGCCAGTCTCTCTGTCTTTGTGTGGCTGAGGCTGCAGTGTGTAAATCTGGGCCAGCGGGGGAGATGCGGGCAGTCACCAAGACAACGCTGTGGCAGAGAGTTGGTCCGTAGTGCAGGAAGGACACAAAGGGATAAAGAGAGGAAGAGTGAGAAGCAGGGACCTGTGAAGTGGATCTTTTTTTTTTCTTTTTTTTTTGGTTGCTGGGAATTGAATTCAGGACCTCTGGAAGAGCAGTCAGTGGTCTTAACCACTGAGCCATCTCCCCAGCCCCGAAGTGGATCTTTTTAAATCTGTTTCCTTGCTTTGGTTCTTCCTCAGGTGTAGGATATTTCCTGCTACGTTGTATTGTATTTGCAGTGGAGCTCGGTGATTGGGCAGTAGAAGAGGTAGGTGGAGTGAGGAGTTGGGACGAAAAGGAAGGGGAGGGGGGGAAGGAGAGAGGAAGCAACAAGGGGGAAGAACCATGGATCTCTAGCAGTCCCGGGTAGCAGTTTCTATCAAAAGGTTAGATACTGGGTAACAATTCTGACTGGTTGGGCATCTTGTGTATTGAGCATTTCCAATTGTATAAATCCATAGGATAATCTTTAAGCATTAAGGGTCTGCATTCTGCTGGGCGGTGGTGGCACACGCCTTTAATCCCAGCACTTGGGAGGCAGAGGCAGGTAGATTTCTGAGTTTGAGTCCAGCCTGGTCTACAGAGTGAGTTCCAGGACAGCCAGGGCTACACAGAGAAACCCTGTGTCGAAAAACCAGACACTCCCCCCCGCCCCCTGCCAAAAAAAGTCTTCATTCTACCGGGTGCCGCCGGCATGGCGAATATTGTCAGGGGCTCAGCTGAGCTTTGTGCAGAGCCAGCCACCATGCTGGCATCTCGTGGGTGCCAGGGCCGGTGTTTTTAGATAGCCCGAGCCGTGGTCAGAGCCAAAGCAGTGGGGAAATGTCAGCTACCGGGGAACAAGCTGGAGTGAGGGCCGTAACATTCAGGTCTCACTGTATTCCTGAAACTGAGCCTTATGAGTTATATAATTCCTGCATCTGCTCATTTCACTGGGTGTCATCTTGTGCAACCCAGTGGATATTGACTGTCTCAGGGGCTGAAGAGATGGCTCAGTGGTTAGGAGCACTTGCTGCTCTTCCAGAGGACCAGAGTTCAGTTCCTGTAAGCTTAGATCTTTTTCAAAACATACTTTATTTAGAGTTTTTAAATGTTTCAACCTCCCTTCTAATCCGCCGACCAGAGGTGAGGAAAAAGGTTAATAGGAAAGGGGGTTGGGACCTGTTTAGAAGTAGATCCTTGGGACGACTCCAGTCTTCGTTGTCAGGATACCAGCAGTCCAGTTCAATACCAAACACGAATCAGCAGTGACAGCATGATCCAGCGGAAACAGCAAGGCTCTGTGGAATGGACAGGAGTCAGCGGAAGTGGACAGAATCACCATACATACCTCGAGAAGTTCTTGGTGCATTTCTGTCTTCAGACTGAAGACCAGCAAAGCGTTGCATGACACAGGGATGCAGGAGCGTCCTTTCACTGTCTCTGGGTTCCATTTATAGTCTTTCGAAGCACCGCGTGTCCTCTCAAGTGTCTGTTTTCAGCAAAACATCACATGCTCTCTCAAAAGACGGCTTCCAGAAAAGCATCACGTGACACAACTGAGTCGTTAAAGAAACCAGAAATTTCTACTTCATATCCCCCTTTCTGCTTTTTTTTAAAATGTCTTTTTCTCTAATATTAACAATTTACAGATAATAGATATAATTATGAGAACCATGAAATTAGAACTTTACGTCACAGTTTAAATAAACTGCATATAGCCGGGAGGTGGTGGCGCACGCCTTTAATCCCAGCACTTGGGAGGCAGAGGCAGGCAGATTTCTGAGTTCGAGGCCAGCCTGGTCTACAGAGTGAGTTTCAGGACAGCCAGGGCTACACAGAGAAACCCTGTCTCGAAAAAAACAGAAAAAAAAAAAAAGCTGCTTATATACAATATGTAAATAATAGTCAAACAAAACAACCTTACGTTTCTATCAAGATATGTTAATCTATGCCAAAGTAAAATCTTTAAGACTAGTATTTTTATTTGTTATATTTATTCATTTGTTATTATTATTCCCTTTCCCCCTCCTCCCCCCCATTATTAGATAGAGGAGAGAGATGCCTGATTTAAACTTTATTTTGTTTCCTCTCTGATCATAACCAATAACAACCAACCACTCTAGACGATAACAACCATAACACATCAAACGACCAAAAACATCCATCCCATCTTTTGGGAATTGGGAGGTCATGTCTTAAAATTACTTGTCTGGAGACAAAGATATCTTCTGGGTACCCTATGAAAATCAAGATATTGGCCAAATCCCAGGAAAGCTGGCTGTATTTTTTTCTGTCCAGTCCCTGTGCTGTCTGGTCAGTGTCTGTGTTGTCTGTCAAGTCTCTGTGTGATCACCAGTTGGGCTTGACCTTTTGAAGTTGATGTGCGTGCATATTTTGGAGAGATCAGTGGCTGACATAGCCTATGAGAGTGAATCATTTGGGCTATTTGCTTTGTGAAGACATCCATGTCTCAGCTGATAAGAGGTTTTCCCTGGTCAGATCAGATCTAATCCTTATAAATTTTATTGGGAGCCATAGTTTTTTATTCCTTGGAGATATATAAGTATAACCACCTCCCTATCCTAAAACTACTGCATGCATCCTAACATCAATGCATCCTTACAGTATATTGGTTGGCTTAATTCCTCAGGGTGTTTGTTTGTTTGGTTGGTTTTTTTGTTTTTTTGTTTTTTGTTTTTTTTTGAGACAGGGTTTTTCTGTGTAGTCCTGACTGTCCTGGAACTCACTCTGTAGACCAGGCTGGCCTCGAACTCAGAAATGCGCCTGCCTCTGCCTCCCAAGTGCTGAGATTAAAGGCGTGTGTGCCACCACCATCCGGCAGTTTGTTTTTGATAACCCAGAGTCTCTCTGCTGCTGTTGTTCCTTCTTCACCAACATTAAGTAAATTTAGAGTTAACAAGGCATTATTTAGTCTGGCCCTGGGGGATTTTACTCTTCCTTTTTGTTTAATAAGCATCTCTTTAAGATACAACTGGCTCTTTCTACAATTGTTTTTCCTGTGGGATTGTGTGCTATCCCAGTAATACATTTCATATTGTAATATGCAAAGAATTTCTTCATCTTCTTGGATATATATATGTGAGAACATTATGAATCTTAATTTGTGCAGATATCCTCATAAGTTCCAATCATAACAGCCTGTAATTTCAACTCCAGGGGATGTGGTGCCCTCCTGTGGTCTCAGGGTTCCAGCACACATGTACGCATATACACAGAAGGACACACATGACACATTAATTAAAAATGAATTCTTGGATATATCAGAGAATAGGAGAGAATCTCTCAGTATACAAAGGCATGAGAGTAAATGGTGTGCACCACTGGGTATTGCTTCAGGAAGTGGGGTGGCAAGCAGAAGGACAGTGGGTAAAGAAGGGGGGGGCAAGTAGAACATCAGTGAGTAACCAAGAGGCACAGGGGAAGAGTTTGGCCATTTCCTAACACTGGGCCCTTGAGAGAGAGAGTTCTCAACTGCAACCCAGCCCATTCCTTATGCAAAGTGGGGGGATCAGTAGACCACAGAGCTCTGAGGACAAAAATCACCAGATGCATTAGCTGTCTACACTGTTAGAGTGTTCTGGGTAGGAGTATAGTTCAGTCGTAGAGTATGCATTTCCAGGTTCAGTGCTCTAGGGCTTATCCCGAAAATGAAAGAACAGGAGTAGGGTGGGGGGAAGGGGAGGGAAGAAAAGTGTGTGTGTGTGTGTAATGGCCGTAATGTAGGAATATGGAAAGAATGGCTTCAAGATTAACAGATGGTAGTGCAAGCCATTTGACAAAGACTAAAACCCTTCTCCGATTGGGCTCTTTGTAACAAACAGAGTAAGTCTGCTCTGTCTAACCGTGGGGGAAGGTAGCTGCTGTAAAAATGATCTTCTGAAGGTCATGTGACTCAGGCTCCAGTGCTTTTGAGTGTCTGCCTCTCCCGCAGCACTTCCCCTTTCTTCATAAGCCATTTCTGTTTCTGTCACTAACCGCACGCCTCTAGTGTAGCTCTCTCCCCTGCAACATGAGAACCTGGATATTTGTGCCTGTGTCCCCCAGACTCTGGTCTGTAGTGGAGCAGAGGAAGGAAGAATGAGAAAGAAGAAAAGGAATTGACCGAAACTTAGGGTTTTCTAGAGGTCAGAGTGGGCCTCACTGGGCTGTGTTCAAGGCCTGGGGCTGATGTCTATCAGATGTTGGGGGGAAGCTGCCTCACCTCCATTCCCAGCTCTAGACTTCTCTGGTTGTCTCCATGTCTGGCCCCTTTTCCCACCTTAACCTCTGTATCCATGGATCTCTGACTCTGTTTCCCCTGGAGCTGTGGAGGCATTCACTGGGAGCCTGTGATTATGCCAGGCCCACTTGGGGTGTTATGATCCTATCAGAAACTAGGTGACTTATAAAGAATCAAAACAAATAGCCGGGTGGTGGTGGCGCACGCCTTTAATCCCAGCATTTGGGAGGCAAAGGCTGGTTTCTGAGTTCATGAGTTCGAGGCTAGCCTGGTCTACAGAGTGAGTTCCAGGACAGCCAGGGCTACACAGAGAAACCCTGTCTCGAAAAACCAACCAACCAACCAACCAAACAAACAAACAAACAAAAAAAGAATCAAAATAAATTTATTGGGCTCATAGATCTGGGACTGGGAGGTTCAAAGACATAGAATGACACCCAGTGAGGTGAGGGTCTCCCTGCTTTCTCATGCCATGGTGGAAGAAGAGAGGGCCAGTAGGGATTCGAGATAGCAAAAAAAAAAAAAAAAGCAAGATGCTGCTCACTTAAAAAAATTTAGGCTGAATGTGAGTGGCCCACACCTTTAAACCTAGTGCTAGGGAGGCTGTGGCAGGTGGGTCTCTGAGTTTCGGGCTAGCCTGGTCTACATTGTGAGTATGAAGTTAAACAAGGGTATATAGTGAGACCCTTAATAATACACACACACACACAGACACACACACACACACCCCTCCCAAGTGCCGGGATTATGGCAAGCGGCAGCTCACTCAATTTGTTTCTGACCTTCTGATAGGATGGTTGTGACAATACGACAATGTGGTGATTCCTAACTTAGCAGAGAGATCAACAAGCAGGAGTGCACACAGAGATGGGCCTCTGTTAGGAACAGAAGATGGACACCAGATAATGAGTTTCTAGTTAAAACTAGTCCATGTCAGGACTCTGGGCTGGAGCCAGCCTTACTGCAGAGCTTCATGTATCCTAGAGCAAAGCTGGACGTGCTGACCAGGAAACAGCTGGGCTCTGCCCTGGGCTGCAGGATTGACCTGTGTGAGCTTCTCATTCATGATCAAGGTCAGCTTTCTAGAGTGGACTCCTGCACTGTCCAAATGGCAACACAGACTGGGTGGGGCTCAGGAGGCTGGATGCTGATTTCAGAATGCTCACCCGTTCGTAGAAGGTTGTTTTCCTTTTCTTCTTTTAAATGTTTATAGGAGTGTGTCTCTGTGTGGGTGTATTTGCACATGTGCTTTGTCCTTGAAGTATGGAAGCGTTAATGGAGGTAGTTGCAGGCGGTTATGAACGACCTGATGTCGGTGTTGGGACATAACCTAGGATCCTCTGAGAGAGCAACAAATGCTTTTAACCACTGGGGAGTTTCCCAGCCCCATCCTGGAATCAGATGGCACCTGTCATCTCTGGTTTATCTGGTTATTTCAGGTTATTTCAAAGAATGAGGTGAAGGAGACAGTTCAACTCCTTGCTAACAGAGTTTTCCTAGCTTCTCTCTGGATACATCTGAACAGGAGACAAATATATAATTAAAACTGATTTACAATATTTATATTTTGATAGTAGTATTATTATTATTTTGTTTTGTGATGAGAGAGAGAGAGAGACAGAGAGAGAGAGAGAGAGAGAGAGAGAGAGAGAGAGAGAGAGAGAGAGAGAGACTCTTTCTACACAGGCCTAGCTGCTAACTGACTTCAGAGTCATGGTCAACAGTGCTGAGCAAGTGTAAGCCAAACAAACCCTTTCCCCCAAGTTGCTTGAGTCACGGTGTTTCATCATAGGAGTAGTAATCCTGACTAAGGCAGGCTGGGGTTACCAATTATCTGTTTTTAAAATCTTTTTTTTTTTTTAATGCTGTAACACCCTATCTTAAAATACCAGCAATAAATTCCTGTATTATTCTATTTGGTGTGACAACCTTAGGCTCATACATTCTATAGCAGGGATCTGGATTCTTTTCCATTGCGGGTATATGTCACATGTGGTTTACCCGTCCATCTAATGATGGATAAGTAGTCTAGTCCTCCATGTTTGGAATCTTACACATGGTGTTACAGTAAACATCGGAGTACAAAAGACTGCGGTTTTTGTTTGGTTTTCGGTTTTTCGAGACAAGGCTTCTCTGTCTAGTCCTGGCTGTCTTGGAACTCTCTTTGTACAGGCTGGCCTCAAACTCAGAGATCCACCTGCCTCTGCCTCCCAAGTGCTGGGATTAAAGGCGTGTCCCACCACTCCCAGCTATAAGTATCTGTTTGAGTCTCAGCTTTCCATTCGTTTGGGCATATAACTAGCAAAATTAATAGATCATAAGGTCCTGCTATTATTAACCATTAGTTCATCAACCATTTCAGTGTATGCTAAAAAAAAAAATCACTCAGGGGAACATGTTGCATTTGTACACTGTATCTGAAGGAAGGAAGGGTTTCATCTGAGTGTGAATTTAAGGGGTGTACAAGATAAGGAAGTTATGCAGCCATGG